GGGAAAGATAGTGAGAAACTGCCTCAAAAAGATTATATATATATATATATATATATATATATATATACACACACACACACACACACACACACACGCACACACACACACACACACACATACACTAATGTTTTCTTCCTGCCCTGATGTCAACAGGCAGCCTAGAGAATTAAGCCCTCAGAAGAGAGTTGGGATTCTCTAGCCAAGATCATCACACTTCTAACCTGTCCTACAGGGTCAGGGTTAAACAGTCAATGTCAGTGATGTAAACCAGGGCCCTTTCATCTTTCTTGCATTTTAGAATTACCTAGGCAACTCTCACTAGTGAGGTCCAGGTCCCACCTGACCAATCACAACCGTGGAGGGTGGAGTCCAGACATCAGGGCTGAAAAGGTCCCTGGGCAATTGTACAGTGCAGTCAGGCAGGAGCCACTTGGCTGTCCCCCGTGCTCCCCATCTTCCTGACCTGTCATCTGATAATTTAGCCGTTGGGGTTTAGGAGTGTGAAGTTTGCCTAGAAGTAAGGGATGGATTAGGAGTGTTATTGAAATCTTAAACCTGCAGATTCATACCTGAGGTTTTTCCTTCTGCTGGAATATATCTTGCATATGCTCACTGGTTTAAAGGTATGTCCTTTGAAGCTCATGGACATTTCATCAGTGATGCCCATACAGTTCCATAAATCTGGTTCTCCACCTGATTGCTGATACTTTCACTGAAAGACCAACAGTTCTACTTAAACTGAGTACTTATGTGCTGAGTATTGCTAAGCCCTCACAGCAAATGTACGAGATTTATACTAATACCCCAATTTATAGACCCTAAAGCAAATGTCAAGAGTAACTTGCTACAGATCATGCAATCAGTAAATACCTAAGGCGAGGTGAACACTACAGTCTGAAACACACTGTCAGTGTTTTTCAGGTTCAGTACTTCGGGTTCAACTAAGCTATTAGTTCCTAAACATTATATTTATCAAAGGAAATGCTATCACTAGCCATAAATAAAAAGTAACTGTAAAAATGAGCACTCTGCTATCAAAGGTAAAAATGCCTGCGTATGTGCACAATCAAAATTCTCACCTACTACAACCGTTAGTGTGGCATGAACCTCATTTTGAGAAACTTCAATCCTGGTCATTCTGATGTGTGTGATGACTTAGTTTGGGAACTCCCGCTGAAGGAGCCCTGTGAACCTATTCATACAGGAATACATATGTTAATCTATCTGATGATAGTTTTGTTGCCATGATCAAATTGGACTACAAAAGAAAAAAATTTGAAAACTTGACCATGACTGTTTACTTATTAGATTTTTTTAACAGCACTATTCATAACAGCTTTATTCATAATCGAAACCGGAAACAATACAAGTCCCCAAGAGAAGAATGGATAAACAAAAATTCTAAGTAAAAATTACAAAAATGTGGTCTATTCATGTGGAATACTAATCAACAATAAAAAGAATGAAAGACAGATACAATGACATGGACAAATCTCAAAAACATGTTGCTCTAAAAAAGAAGCTTACAAAAAGTACACAGTGGATAATTCAAATTCAAAAACAAGAAAAACTTACCTACGTGATAGAAATGAGAACGATAGTTTCCTTTAGAGGTGTGTAACGCCTACAGAAATGCTCCATATCTTGATTGGAGTGGCACCTACTCAGACACGTACATGTATCAGAACATCCAAATGTACCCTGCATTCTGCTGTGTCTCTGCACTTTGCTATATAAAATTTACCCCAATTAAAAATTTAATACTTGCTTCAAAAGTCAGTGAAGAAATTAGTAATGACACTCTCTGAGATTTAGTTTTATGATACAGAATCAAATTTATTAAATCCCTTCTGATGTGAAAAAAAATCCAATTTATTTCAGTCCTTAACAAAACATCCACTTGCAGTAGTTTCTCCCACAAAAGTTTTAGAAGAAAATTCCTTTGTAGTTATACGCACAAGTCTATTTAAATGCTAACTGCTTACCAAGTTCGTCTTAAACAGAAGTCTGGAAAATTTGTATTTGAAAAAAACAAAAACAAAAATATATATATGTATTTGAAAAGTACTATATGGGACTGTCTTTTTGGACAAGCTCTGCTTATACAGATTCACGTGTGTGTTGACAAAAAACTACATTAAGAAGTAAAACTCCAGCTCATGTTTAAACGTGTTTGCCAAGAGAGAAGTGTGTGCTCCTTTTACCTAACGATCCAAAGAGATGGGTAAATAAACACCTCAAGCACCTCCGGCGCTCCCCAAGCTGCAGGGAAGGAGTGTGGGAGCCAAGCCCTTTCAGCAAAGTTCCAAAGAGGTGTTAGCAGAAAAACAAACACGTCAGTGAAATCAGAGGCAGAACTGCTAATGGGGTATTTTGAACTCTACAAATGCAAAGCAGACTTTGAATTCAAAGAACTTTGTCGCAGGTCAAGGAAATCCTGGCTGGAAAGGAAGCCCGACAGTCTTTAATTAGTGAGAAAGTAGAAAGGGAGAAGAGAAGCGCGGGACACAAACCGAGTTTGGGATTTCGTCCTCGGATATTCAGCTGCTCTTTGCTGGCCTGTAGCAAGGGCTGGAATGAGCCATAGTGCCAAGTGCAGCCCTGGCTGCCACCCGCCCAGAAGAACACAGCTCAGCGGGGGTCTGTGCACTGTCTGCCTTCCTCGGTCCTCTGCTTTATCTTTAGCCTTCTTCTCTCTTGTCATAGCAGTTGCTGTTCAGCTTCTTGATGGTTTTATTTAACTCACTGTCTTATAAATGCCCTGATTCAGGACAATCCTTAAAGGCTGTAGACACAAAAAATGAAATTTTTAGCAAGCAAATTATGACTTGGATTGTGTTTGTTTTAGTCCCTTTCCTTGTTTTTATGTCAGCAGCTTTGCCGAAAGCAGCTGGCATGTCCCCTAAGTGGCTGTTGCCTAATTCCAACTTGAAATCACTAAAAAGCATTTTGCGCTGTCATAATCGTTTGCATAAGCCGTAACTAGCTCTTTCATTATTAAACTCCCATCTGATGGTTGGGGGAATTTTGATAAAGACTTAATGATGTGATGAGCTGGTTTGCCCTTCGTTCATGTCTGTGATTCCAGAGCTGACAGATGCACTGTCTCAGAAAAAAAAAAAAAAAAAAAAAAAAAAAAAAAAAAAAAACTAGACACAACTTAGGCTGGGTCAAAGGTGAGATCAGTGCGGAAAATATCCAACTGTTCCTTCAACAATCCCTTATAACTAACGTTATGTACTTCTCAGAAGGCAACACCCTTGAATTGTGCCTTTGTTTGCTGGCAATGAAATATAATGTGTTTGGCTTCCAACGCCATGATAAGCTGCCATCCACTGAGTACTAATCTAATAAAATGACTTCAGGGAGGATGAAGCCCTCTGGGGTCTCTTTAGCATTCATCAGAGTCAAAAGACACCCCA